GGCCCTCACCTGTGCCCCCCACACACGGCCCTCACCTGTGCCCCCCACACACGGCCCTCACCTGTGCCCCCCACACACGGCCCTGGGCGCTCCTGGCCCCGGGGAGGTCTCACAGCTCTTCCCTCCACCCTCCGCCTAGAACATCCAGTCCCGCGTGGGGCAGAGTGGGCGCCTCCTCCCGGTCTCAGGAGCCCTTCCGGGGGGGCCTCTGCGCCCGCGGGTGCTTGCTGTGGCTTCTGTGGGGTGCCCCGTGTCCTGCGGAGGAACTCCCTCGGCTAGCACGCGATGGACGCGGGGAGAGAAGGGTGTTTCTCCGCCAGCTGGCTCTGCCGTCCAAGAGCGCAGCTTTATCCCAAGGAGGGAGCAGGGCGGGCAGACACCAGCACTGAGAGCCGCCCTGGGGCCGGCAGAGAGGGGACCCCAGTCACAGGCGGGGCGCAGGACAGAGGAGCCACCTCGGGCCTGGCAGGGCCGGCCGCGACTCCCGCCCGGTGGCCACGCGTGGGCCGCAGGGCTCTCGGAGACGCTTGTTTCCTTGCTCGGGGACTCTGACTGCGTTTGGACGTGGGGGTCACGCGGGCTTCCCAGGAACAGGGAAGGGCGACTGAACACCCGTCTCGTTTGGCCACCCTGAGCTCTGGTGGGGGTGGCAGAGGGGTGCATTCCGGCTGTGCCATGACCCGGCGATGGCGTGCCCACAGAGTGGCCAGCGCTCTCCTGCTTTGTCCCAGGAGAGTATGTGCGGCTCGTGTCACCTCGGAGGCTGGGCTCCGGCCCCTCGGCCTCCCCTACCGCTCGGGGACCGCCCTGAGGGCACGTGCTGCTCTGGCCTCGTCGCCCGTGGGTGTCTGGGCCCCACACTTGTCCGGACGGACCCGGCACTGGCCGCTCCCGCCCCGTGTCACCCGGAGTCTGGTCTGTGTCCAAGGGATGACTGTGGCGCCCCTCAAGGGTCCTTCCCCTGACGGACCCCAAGCCCAGCCCTGGCCTGCACCCCCGAGTGGACAGAGGCTCCCCTGCAGGCCGAGACGGCGGGGGCGGGGGTGACCCCGGCCAGAGCCCTTTCTCTCCTGACGGCACTGCTGAGAAGCAACTGGACTTAAATAAAACAAAACTGGAGACCTCGGCTTCAAGAAACTGCACTGGGCAGGACACGTGAACTGTCCCGTGCTGACGTCCGTTCCAGAGGAAGGACACTGATGCCCGTGAACATGACAGGCCCGGCCACCCGCACCGAGAACAGCGTGAGGACCCAGCCAGCACCCCAGTGCCCAGGAAGGGGAAGCTCCTAGGCGGGAGGCAGCGGCGCGGGGAGCGATGTGCGGAAGGGGACAGGCTGCCCGGGGCCCCCCAGGCCCCACCCCATCCCTGACTCAATGGCCGCTCTGCAGTGGGCACTCTCTTCCCCCCCCCCCCGTTTTAAAAATGCGTTTATGCACAAAGGGCCGGTGCAGGCTGGAGGTGCCGGGATTCCCCAGGGGCAGAGTGCGGGGCAGAACAGGGCGACCCCTGAGGTTGGCCCGAGGTTCTGCAAACAGGCCTCCTCCCCCGGGCTGACTCCTGCTCCGAGGACCTGTGCGCCCAGGTCCCCACTAACCAGGAGGCCTTGTTCCAGCAGGGACTTGTGAGCCCAAGGGCGTGCTCTTTCCTTGTGCCTTCGTTCTCGTCTAGCAAAAGCCGGGGCTGGGAGAGTGAGAGGCACAGCTGCTCTCGACGGCCCCGCCCACCGCCCCCGCTGCAGATGCATGCGGACCCCAAGACTCGGTGGGTCCTGAGATACACTGTGGGGGGCGGCAGGGGGAGGGGTCCGCTCTGCCCTGGGTCGCCCTGGCCGCGGTGGCACTGAGACGCTGCGCCCGCGGGGCCCGACTCATGCCTAGATGACTCCAGCTGTGTACCTCTTCCCCGGTCAGGGGACAATCTGAAACTGCTGGACTAGAAGGAAGGCAACGGCACGTTTTGCAGCTTGCACCAAGACTCAAGTTACCCATAGGCCATTCTAAAATGCAAAGTCAGGGCCCTCCCTGGCGGCGCAGCAGGTCAAAGCGCCGTGAAGCTGTCCGCGGCCCCCAGCCAGGGAGCTGACCCAGGCACAGCGGGCCTCTCCCGACTCCCCAAGGCCCCCTCAGCAGTGGATCTCCCCGCTCTGTGTCTGGTGACTCCTGTCACCCTCCTCCTGCAGCTCTGGCCTGGACCCCAGTTCTTGTATGCATAAATAAATCTTTAAAAAATGCAAAATCCTAAGAATGATGCAACACTCAGATAGAAATGTAGAGTCTTGAATTTCATGATGTGTATGATCCGCAAAAGAAAACATCATAGCATACACTTTGCATCTATTCTGCGGTCCTCCCTGGCGGCCCAACAATCAAAGCGCAGCACTAGGAAGCTGCCTGCAGCCCGCAGCACGAGTTGGATCCCTGGCCGGAGGGGACCCCAGGGCGCCGCAGACCTGCCTGTCTCCCCGCCCCCCTCAGCAGTGGACTCCCTCGATCTGCCTTCTGCTCCCACTGTCGCTGGTGAGTCTTCTCACCCCCGTTCTTATGTGCATGAATCTTTCATTAAAAAAAAGTATCCATTCTGCAAGACTGTCCAGAAAACCAGAGGTCAGTCACAAACACCTCTGGCGATACCCTGAGAGCCCCTGTAACTGCCTGTTTTCCATGTTCACACTTCGGGTGACAGCGAATTTTAGGGTGTGCTCCCTCCCCGGGAAGCTCCCTTGTCACAGCCTGGGGTCGTGATGAACCCAGGGCCGGATGGGGCGAGTGAAGGCAGATGACACGGGCCGTGGGGACGCAGAGCCACGGACGAGCCCACGAGCCCGTCGGACTGGGGCGCGTCCGGCCGGCCGCGGACGTCCTCTGTCCTCTGCGCAGCGCTGCGTGGCCGGGCCCTGTCCTCTTACCCCTGCGGGCGAGCGGCAGGTGCCCGGGGCACGACCGGCCACCAGGTGGCGCCAGGGAACAGGAGGTGGGCAGGGACGGGCGGAGGGAGGCGCTCCAGCGCGGCTGGGGGGACAGATGCCCCAGTCCCCTCCCCCACGACAGCAGGTCAGGGCGTCCAGGTGGTCGGGGTGTGGGAGCTGCGTCTCCGGCCGGGCGCCTCTCTCTGGGTACGTGTGGAGACCCTGCCACGCCCCAGGGTGGCCCAGCTCTTGGCCCCTCAGGCCGCCGCCCGGGTTGGCCCTGGCCGTGCCCCCAGGAGCCAGGGGCCAGCCCGG